GTTATAATAAACTAGTCTACTTATTCAAATAATAATAATAATAATAATAATAATAATAAAAGAAAGAAAGAAAAATGGGAATATAAGTAGGCTGCAGTGAAGTGTTTGTATTTTCTAGCCAAATTTGAATAGTTGGTTTTGATAACGACACTCTTTTAAGATTTAAGTCTGTTCTAAAGAATAAAATATATAGGTGTTAATTATTAGTATGTAAGTCTCCCCATATTTACCACCATACAAAAAAAGTTTACAGGTATTTATTTTATTTGATATCTTTAATCTTTATTAGTTGTCAATTTTTTAATGGCAGTGGATAAAATAAATGACTATATGGCTATATATGTATTTAATGATGAGTAGTTATAGTTTTATCTCGTTCTATGTGTAATTTGAATCCTCAATCCCTCCAAAAGTTTTATCATATTATAGCTACAAATGAGAAGAAACTTGAGCGTAGTTGGGTCCAAATTCTACGCCCACATGTTGTTGTAGTTCATCAAAATATTGTGTTCTTTATTTTAATTGTATCGAGCAGCGATCGAGGTTTGTAGTACCCCAAAACTCCAAGTGCTTGCCAGTGCACTATCCTCTAGTTAGTGTCTCTAGATTATAATACTATATTGTCTCTAAATTTAACATTTAAAAAAAACATATACTAATTAATTTAATGTCTTTTAATCTTGAAATATATATACTTATTTTATTTAATAATCTAAATTTTTAAATATTATGTTAATAGCTTTTCGACTTTGTATCTAAACTTCATCTAAAAACTCAATGATCCTTTTTTTTAGAATTTTCTATTAGTTATTTAACGAAATTTTGAATTTGTTTGTAACTTGCAACATTTAATATACCAGACTTATCTTCGAATGAGACACTTGTCCTACCGTATGAAGGTAAATATGAACCTAAAAGGTGTCCATATAATATATAAAAATAATTATCGACAAGGAATAAACTAATTTTGATAAGATTGAAATAAAATAAACAAAAATTAGAGAGACAGAAAATAAAACAATGCCATAAAATTTGAATATAATTATGAGAATGTATTGAGGAAATAGAAAATATGAGGTTTATCTTCTGATTGGACGGAAACGCATTTGGGTGGTTGCAAAGTATTTTGATTGGGATTTTTCATTTGCAATTAGTTAAGACGAAAATTGATGTTTAGAAGAATTGACGGAGGGTAGGGTCCCACACTCCAAAAAAGTCAGCAAATTTATGATTGATTACTTTTCATCTTTACCAAAATCCAACTTTATATTATATGCAATAATCTATTGCTACTATGAGATTCTATTTTAAATTATCAATTTAATTACAATCTCCTTCATTACGAGTCGAAATCAATAAGGCCAGCTCAAAGTTTGGAACGTTTCTAACCTAACAATTACGATGTTATCAAGCAAAATAAATTATATATATATATATAAAAATTGCAACATCATTTATTAAATTGAAATTAAAAGTTTAAGATAAAAAAAGTTGATACAAAATGAATAATTTTCTATTATATTCACTTGTGTTGTCGCGATGAGGTTCTTGAAAGGTGGGTTTGGGCTCGGGTCAGAGCAGGAGGCTGCCTCATCAGCTGGTTAATTGATTTTCTTGTCTACTTTTTGTTTTTTTGTAATACCCGAACAGATTAAAGATGAGGATATACTTTTTTTCCTCTCGCAATTATTTGTTTCTTATATTAAGAAAAGATTGAAAAGAAAATATAAATTTTTGAATATCCCACGTGATTGGTGGGATCCCATTGCAACTTCATAGCTGATCCATCAAATCCCAACTTCAATGCCTACAAAAAGTGGTTGCCGTCACTCACTCTCTCTGTCTGGTGTTAGTATTAGCGGCAAAATTGTAATTAAGGACCAAAATTGTCTGATTTAATGTGTTATTTAAGTTAACTATTTGAGTAACGATAGGTTTACTTTAGTTGCGACCGGGATGGATCAAATAAGAAATTAATTTAAGGCTTTGGCACATAATTTCAATGTATTAGGTAGTAATTAACATGGAGCCCGGAGGGGAATCCACCAGTCAGTGGGCCATTCTCGTACACTAATTAGTCCATGACAATATTATATATAAACAGGTGAAAATCTGTCTCCATTTACTATTTTTCTTCATAAGTCGCTATTCTTTATGCCCATCCTAATCTTCAAATAATTTAGATTTTGGAATGTTTTATTCGTACACAACCAAAAGATTATAGTGACGAGTATGAACTATCTCAAAAAAAAAAAAAAAGTTTAAGTATTAGAAAACTATTATCTCATACAATAAGATATGGTTTGACTTTGATTATATGTGTCTATATTCATTATCAAGTAATAATAAATTAGATGAGTATAGTGTTAAGATACGTACCACGAAAAAAAATGGTTAAACATTGATATAGTGTCTCTTGAACATTCTTCAATACTTAGATTAAAATATTGGATTAAGTAAAACTTTGTAGCATAATAGTGATAAGTATGAAATTTTATTGGTAATCTCATTTTTTAATATTAATTTAAAGAGAGAGCAATAGTCACATTTGGAGTAATATAAGTGATATGCTAGATTTGTATTAGCTGGACAATAGTCTAGTGACAGAAAGTCAAATTGATGTATCTCTTTTTGCATCTATTACGAAAATTAATCGATAATACATTATTTGGTCGATTGTTGCTATTGGGTGAATCGTATAAATAATTGATGTTTAGAATAACACGTATTGAATACTACATAAAAGATAATATTATATGACTTGATCGGAGGTTTTCGCTTAACTCACAATCTATTGAAGGATAGAAATTAACAAACTTTAGAAGATTCAAAATAAAAGAAAAGGAAAAATGACATGTTACCTAAATATTTAAAGGGTTTAGGGTATTTTTTTATATGTAAAGGTAGGGTATTGTGTGTTAGGCTTAAACAAAACAGAATTATTTGGGGAAAATAAAAGTGGGAGCGAGTGGTTTGCGAAATAATAGGAAAGAGCTTTCGAAACAAATATTATTATTACAGAAAATTAAAAAGGAGGCAGATGGCAGATGGCAGATGACAGATGGCAGATTAAGATTTAAATAAATCCTTCCATTAAAGAAGTGCGTGGCCACGTCTATCCCATGCGCCACGCCGCCACAAATGTGTTACGTCATCATCCTTTAGTAACGGTAACAAAATTTTTAGTAATTAGTATTATTATTTTTGGATAATCTTCAATTCATTATTTATCACAATGCTAAATAATATGTGATCGTATTTAAATAATAATAATAATAATAATACAGATTTACCAGCACAAGTAAATTTATAATGATAAAATTATAGTGTCATCCATACGTTTATAATTTATTTCCATCCACACTATTTTAAAATTTAAAATATATTGCAATCTACATATTTTTTTAATATTAAATTATTACCCTATTTTAGAAAAAAACAAATTTCCATCTCTGTTATTAAATTTTTGTATTATGTATCCATTTGTTTTTAAGATACGGTATTACATTTAACGGTTAAATCATCTATTAACCGTCGCTGTTTTTTTCATATATTATAAGGTAATGGATAGATTTCGGTTCATCGAGAAATTTTTTTATAGAATATAGATTCAATTTAAATGATTTTTGTAAGTTTTCTAACATCAATATTTTTTTTAACAAATTTTGTCATCTTTGATGGTTTCCATCAATATTATAATATATCTAATAATACTTAGCTCTCCTAATATTTTCTCATTCATATTTTAATTATTGAATTTATAAGGTCATGTTAGAAATATATAATCATCATTTCAAATCTTGAACACCAATGTTATCTCTTTTGCAAACCTTACTTAAAAATAGAGACAAAACAGATTAGTTAGAGGCTTAGAGCTAACACGTGTTAGATTTAGAGCATCCATCATTTTGATTTTTGTACAAAGTGTTCTGATATATTATCAAAAATATATATAGTTCTCGATAATGGAAATAATAAGCATAAGACTCGGAACTTTTCTGTGAGCCCAAGTCAGCCCAAAATATAGGCTCAGCCCAACTAAAGAGCCCACATAGAATGATGATCATCCACTTCAATCCACCAGCCTCGTGGAGAGTTCTAAATGGACTGAACTGAGTTCATAATTTTTCCCCCTACTCCAAGAGATTGAGTTGATATATATATATATATATATATATATATATATATATTATTGTTTACTTCAACAACGTGTAAGGATTCAAACGTTTTAACTTTAGGTCTACGATATATGCCTTAACCGATTGAGTTATGTTTGAGTGACAATTTTTCTTTTTACTTTACAATATAAGTTAGGTTTTGAAGCAATTCAAACTGAATTTTACACTAAAATTCCATTAGAAAGAATATGTTGCAGAAATCATACTCGAATAATAGATGACTCATTGAGGCTTTAAAATGATAAGACTATAATTAAATAGAAAAAATCATTAAAACTACGATCGTAAGTTTATTAAAGATAAGATAATCTACTCAACTCAGTGGTGGATCCGAACTTTTTGTGCAGTGGACTTAGTTCGTATGGTATAAAGTTAAAGAAAAAATGTATTTTAAACCATTAATCTCTAAATTGTCCATCTTTTTAGACTTTATAAAATTCAAATTAAAAACTATATAAAAAAAATCATATCTCAAGAAATAAGCTTTGAATTATTGATAATGACTACAATAGGAATCGAACAGCAACAGTCGACAGGAAGATGAAGCACGTACCACTACACACGAGCCAGAAACTTTATACATAAAACTATACTAATTGTATATATACAAAGTTGGGGGCATGTAAATCCACCCCTGCTTGAACCTATAGTTGATTAGTTATGGATGAACCATTTGGTTTTTGTAGGTGGCTGGATTCTATTTTTTATGAGAGACCTACTAGAAATTGAGACAAAAATTGGCTTTGATAGGGAAGAAAGAATTTCTTTTTTCTCTCTTTCTAACAAGGAAATTTGAAATTAACTTACAACTTTGGTTACATGCCTTTCGGCCTTTGGCTACATTAGAAAACCCAGAGGGAAAAAGACTTTTTCCAAACTAAAGACATCTATTCCAAGAAAAATTGTGTTATGTATGAAAATCTCTCAAAGATTTAATCTCTCTTTTTTATGTTTGAAACTATTCCAATTTTATTTAAAATTTCCTTTTTTTTATATCCTTTAGTGTTCGGGTCAGCTTACGCGCACCTTGATTAATCTTACGGGACAACCGTTTGATTCTACGATATTTGTTGTTGGAAAATACGTAATTCTTAAAATAGGTGGTTATCATGAGATTTGAACTCATTTCCTCTTTAATCCTAACTTATTTGGACTAATGAGCCACTCACAATAGTTTAAAATTTCCAATTTATTAGTGAATAGCTTTATGGTTTGGATTTAGTCCGCTCAACTATGATTCACTTCAATCCAATTCACCGATGATGCATACTTTTTCTATGATATCAAGAATTTCAGCTATCAACTAAGTTGCACCACACGTCCATTCTTATTGATATGAGTTATTTTTATTTCTAAAAATAATAAGACCTATGTATTGAAATATAGTATTAAATAAATTAATGTGGGAAGTGATGAATTATCATATCCTTATCTTTATATGATATCTTAACAAGTTTAAAGATACTCATATCCTTTGTCTAAAACAAATAGAAAATCACCAAATTAGCAACCTGTCATGTTTTCATTTTATAAATTATAACTTGAAATCGACTTTTCCTCCGTTGTTTCTTCTCAACGAATCGTGTCTTCCGGTTCCGGGTTTACATAGTTGTGTGATTTTTTTATTTTTTTTTTCTCGTTTCTATATTAATGGGAAAAACAAAAAGACAAAAACTTTCTAATTATATGTTGGGTAACATGTTTTCCATCTATTACTATTCATCCGACAGCATAAGCTTAATCGATGGAAACAGCCATTTTAGCATAAAACGACGACTAGGAAGAAAAGAAACCAAAAACAGAAGATGAGTGGCGACCACAAGCCCTGCATCTGCATTTTATTCACTTTTTTATACTTTGTTTTGGCCTAAAAAGAAGACCCACACACAAAAACATCCAATCTAACAAGAAGCAGTTTGAAATTCCCATATGCAGGCAGGGGAAGGGAAATTGTGGATTACATAACATCGTGGCCTTCTTCTCCTGATCCCCTGGCGGTATTGACCCTCCTGCAGTTTCTTCTGATTTCCCCTTGGCGTCCAGTCAAAGGCCTAATGTTTCCCATGTTGATCATCGACTGCCGGAACTCCTTAAAGAAGGTGCCTTCTCTGGCCGCGAAACTGTTCACAATCGCGATGGTGTCGGCCCCGGGCGTCGAGAACAGCTCCTGGTCGCTCTGCAGAAGCCCTTTCCCCACTTGAAGGTTGCTGTAGTAGTTTTTGTCGAACACGTCCGGTGTTGTTGGGTCGAAATTCGCACGTGTGTCTGGCCCCGCCGAACACACCCTTTCCAGGAATCGCCTGTAATTTGGGTCCAGTGTCGGATCTGGCCTCCCTGTTTCGTTGAAGTTGGCAAATCGGTGGCTGAAGAATTGGCACCTCGATCGCCCAAACGTATGCGCTCCTGATATATTTCGTCATTTTAGAGCCCAATTTTCAATTTTTGATTTCTTGTGTGTGTATATGATTGCGTAATTAATTACCGGATAAAGCGACCAGATCGGTGGTGCCAAGGCCAACAGCAGCAAATTTGGCTTTGAGTTCGACGAGGGTTTCGAAGGGACTGGCGAGGCCGAGATCAGCCCCTGTTTTGTTGGCTATTCTGCTGTCTCTTCTTCCGTATAATACTCTCCAGCTAGGCCCTCCTTGCTGGAAAAAAGAAATAACCATTTGATTTTTATACCATATTGGAAGTATAATGTAAATATTGGAAGTTGAGATGGGAAATAATAAAATAAAATGGTTAATTATACCACATCGACAGAGTCTTTAGAGGCCTGAGCTAGGATGTCGGCGCAGGAGACGACACCGGGACATTCCGCCTCCACGGCGGATTTAATGGCGTCGACAATTTCGAGCCCTTGGATTCCTTGATTTCCGGGTGAGTTCAGCTCGCTGTCTATGCCGGGAGCATCCTCTAGCAAAACAGAGCCATCACAGCCCTGCAAAATACAATCAAATTAGGTGATCAAATCAATAAGGAACAATGAGTAATTTAATTTAGTTTGATTTATACGTTGACGAAGCAGTCGTGGAAGTGGAGGCGGATGAGTTTTGCTCCGGCGCGGATGTCGGTTTCGATGGCTTTCTTGACGGCGGCGCGGACAATGTTGGGGAGACGAGGGCAAGATTTGTCGTAAAAGTTTTCGGAGAGTTGGGCGAGAGAGGCTCCAAACAGAAGAGTTACAAACAAAAGCAAAGCCACGAATTTGGAGGAGGACATTTTGGAGAGTGGGGAGTGATGAAAGCTTCAGCAATGGAGGCTCCTTTTATAGAGACTTAAAAAGGCAGAGTGGGCCGTGTGGTATGCGCACGACACGGCGGCGGCTCACTCTCCAGCCCGCCACGAGGCCATTGCTAAATCAAATATTTCAATTTTGTGAACATACATTTAATCGTGCTCAACGAAACATAGGTGGCGGCGACTTTTTTTTTTCTTGGATAAACCAATCCACTCCGACCTCTGAAGAAAGCTAAATTCATATAAACAAGATGAGTTTCAATTGGTAAGCACCAAGTATTATTCTTAACTAAATTGTCAAGAATCTCTTCGGAATTCAATTTCATTTAGTATATACCTTTTTACTTACGCAACGTTATTTATTCTATTTTCTCTCTCTCTTTTTTATACATTCATTTTTCTTAATTATTAATCTGGTGTTAATTAGGGAAGACCTACCTACCATGAATACTTAAATGTTATTCTTCTTGAAATTAAAGTATGGTTTACTTATATTTGGTTTTGTAAATTCAATTAGTACAATAAATATATAGATGAGATGTTGAACTTCTAACCTCTCAAGAATAATATTTATTTATGTCTGTCTATATATTTGGAAATTCAACTCTGGAAAATATTATTTATGAATAATGAATATCAAACTATTGTTGAAAATTAATTGTATTACTTAATTATGAATTATGAGGAGTGATTCAATTAATTAACATCAGAATTACTTTTCAATTTAGATTTATTGAAAAATTTTAATTCATTTAACTAAAAAAACTATGAATATCAAAAGTGATAGGGTTAAGAATAATTAAATAGGTATATAACAAAATCAACTGAACATAACTTAGTGGATAAGACACATATTAATCTCAAAAGTCAATTGTTCGATTTGTTAAAAGATCTCACATTGAAAAAAAAAATGAACATTACAATGGTTTATAATAGACATAGGCTACTCATTTCATTGTCAACTGATTTTGAGATTGAACCCTATGAATATGGATACAATTTACCCACCCTCATAATTGTTGAATTTAAGAAAAAAGAAAGTATACTAAATCAATCTAAAATAGTTCTAATTAGCTAATTAAGAAATTGATTAGCTCTCCTCTCAAAGTTTGTAGTGTAAACCCATTTCAATTTGAATGGTACTATTAGAAAAAGAAAAGTTAAGGCAAAGATGGAGAGAGAATCTAATTCTCATCCTCACCCATTTCTCATTATTAAGGGAATATGCTAATGGATATTATTGTGAATATCCCCACAACAAAAGCTCTTTGTTGTACCTTTTTATAGTTATTTTATAAATAAAAACTCAAGTAAATACTAATACATATATTTTCATATTAATAGATTTATTAAATTTTAATCCAAATATATGATAGCAGCAAAAGGAAAACAATAACAATTCGATTGAGTGAAAGAGTTTTAATTTTTTGTCCTTCTCAAAATTAAATAAAAAAAAAAAAAAATCTTCTTCTTACAAAATTTATCATTCATGTCATTATCTAATTTGAAGCAGTTATCTTTATTCACATCTTAATAAGACTTGGATAAAATTTTCAATTGATTTGATAGAAAAGTTAGCTAGAAGAGGAGCTTATTTTTATATATAGGAATGGGAGGAGTTATTGAAATCTTTTATCTCTTTATCTAGATCGAAATTAAAGTATTTAGTGGCGTATTCTACAATTTACTGGAAAAATAAAAGAAGTTATTAAAATTGAATGTTGGTTTGACGTTTTACCGGCCGGAAGGACAGACTACAGAAACAATAATAAATAGGAATCAAAGTGGCGGGCGGGTCTGTTTCTCAAAACTGACTTAAACTCAACAACTTTCCTACTATGTCATGGGCAGAGGAATTACATCATTATCTAAATAAAAATATTTTTAATTTTTATGTGGGACTCGCGTATTTAAAGATAAAATTGATACACTCTATCTCACTTTCTCTTTCTTGAATTAATGGTGTATTCTCCCCTTATTAAATATTATTATATAAATAAAATTAATCCACGGTATCTCACATTTTTCTCTTAAATTAATTGTATCTTCTCTCTTATTAAATATTTTAGATGTTATTATTTATTTTTCTTTTTCTAATTTATTTATCTCTTTAATGTTATTTACATCTTCACTTGTTTCTCTCGTCCTCTATTTTCAACTCTCGTCCTCTAAATTTATTCTTTCTTTTTCTTAATGATTTGAACTTCACCGTTTAAATTATGTATGACTTTTCTATTTATTTTTTATTTTTCTGGTTCTTTTTTATTATTTTTATTCAATTTTCATCATTTTTGTGAATTTTGACTATTTGATCATAAATAGTAAATACACTTTTTTTTTCTTTCAGTACAAATATTGTTGAATTTTTGGTTAATTGAATTATTTTTGTTTCAAATTAATGGCTAGCTAAGAACATATAATTCATCAAAATGACATTTTTAAATACGTCCTCCACATATTTTTCAATATATATAAATATATTATTCATGTTTTATTATTTGATATTTGAACGTCTATTAAAAAATGGATATCGAAATGGATAACAAATAAAATACGTTGGATTTAATATTTTTAAGTTTGTCTATGCATCTACTTTTTAAATTTTTGTTTTTATTTTAAAATAAAGTTACAAAAAATATCAAAATTGGTAATAAATAAAAGGTAATAATAATATTGATTAAATTATACAAGATAATTATTTACCTATTTAAAAATAAAATTACAACCAAAATAAAAATATCAAAATAAAATAAAGAAACATTCCGTTTTCTTATTTTAGAAGTCTGTAAATAAAAATAGGGAAGAAGATATAAAATTGTTCAGAATACAAAATTTATTAATTTAAAAGAAGAGAAGAAACTGAAATAACGTTGACAGTGAGAAAAGAAAGTGAAGCTATTAAATGGAAGCTTAGCATAACTTAATTAATTGAGGTATATATCCCGAACAAAAATTTGTCGGTTTAAATTCATATCGTTTATTATACTAAACAACGAAAGTCAAAAGATGTTAACAAAAAATAATAACGAAAAAAGAAAAAGGAAAAAAATGAAGAAATTCGTTAAAAATTAAAAATATTTTTATTTATATAATAATAGTTAATAATGGAGAGAATACACCATTAATTCAAAAGAGAGGGAGTGCGATAGAGTGTATCAATTTTACCTTTAAATATGCGGATCCCACATAAAAAATAAAAATATTTTTATTTAGGTAATGATAGAACAACTTTACATATGCACAATTTAAGTGGGAGTAGTATCGGAAGTTTTCCGTATCACGGGAGGAATTCTCCAGCATGAACAAACAACACAATTAAATCAAGCTTCAGTATTTATTCCTCACAATATATTTTAGTGTGAAATCTGACCCCTTTCTAAATATTTTAAAAAATAAAGTGACTCAAGACTCAACTAGTTAAATATTTATATATTTTCATTAAAGTTTATGTTTTTTTTTATGGGTCTAGATTTGGATCCCATCTCTTATTAACCGTATAAAAAATCACATAAACTAGATTTGGATTTTTTATAATGAATTTACAGGAAAAGAAAAAAAAAATCTCATCATGATGGATGGTGGATAACCTAACCCGATCCTAATCTTAATAATGGACTCAAGGGATTGAAATTTTCTTTTTTTAAATGAATACACTCCATTTTAGAAAGAGCTGTCCGCAGCTCTGCACGCCAAGTTTGATTTTATGCAATTTCTCTCTCGATCTAACTTGCTAGAAAAATAAAAAACTAATATAATTTAATTTATATGGATAATTAAGATTAAATAAAACATTGTTTAATGGTCGTTAAAATCAAGAAAATTACAATATAATATTCTAAATGAAAGCGGGAAAGATGCAAAATTTACTTTGATTCCTATGCATGTGACGGCCATAGGATTACTACTTTATTTTATTTTATTGTGTGGTGGAGAAAATTAATATTAGTAGGTAAATGAGGGTCCCACATGGGCAAGTTGGTCAATATCTTATATGGATGACATTTTACTTTTGCAAATTACCATTAACAAAGTAGAGCAAAACGAATCTTTTCCATTTATTTTTAACTTCCAAGTTTTGAACTTTAGAGCTGTTGTTTTATTTATAGCTTAAACTTTTTATTTATTTATTTTTCCATTATGTTATATGCCCATGCCAATTAACAAAATAATTGTTTCTTTTGCCTTTGTTTTGAATTTTAAAATCTTATGAATTTTTTAACAATAAAATATTTAAGATAATTAGCTTATAAGATTAGTTTGACATCAACCGATATCAAAAAGAACAAAAATATATAATATTAAAAATAACAACCTTCTCTATTTTAAAAAAAATTTTACAATGAAATAAAAACTTTAATTAATACAAATTTAATATTTTGAATCATTACCACCAGCGGATAGTGGCATAGTGGGTTTGTGGTCGAATGAGGATACCCCTCTCCAGTTCGAACTCGTTGGGACCTGTAGTTGGGATTCCTCTCCTTTCGGGGACGAGACCCACAACATTAATTATAGTGTTGGGTGGCTATTGACACTCCGTTATAGAGATCCAAATTCAAATTATAAAAGGATATATACATTTTGAATAATTACTCTCTAGTATATTTTAATAGCTATAATATTATTAATATAAAGTATAGATTCGATGACTTACAAGAAGTTACAAATTTTTTAATCACCCGAATTACCGACTACAACGCAATATGCTCTAAGTGGTATACTTCTTGCTTTATAAGTTGTAAATTAAAAAACTCCACTTTTGCACTTCAAACAATAATAGAAATGAAATCTAATAACAAATCATAAATATAGGAATAAAATAAAAGGAAAGAAAGAAATAAAAAGTGATATTGAATTAAATCCGTTGGGTCCCACCTGCAACCCTCTTCCTTGAATTCAAACTTTTGCAATTCGCCGCCCCAACGCAATTAAGCTAAGTCCTTGGTTTATAATTGAAAGCAGAGTGGGCAGACTCTGGAAAAGGCTTCCATAATAATTATATGATTTACTCACATTCATTATGATCATTATTTTCTCCTTTGTATTTGTATATTAGTTTTCTTTTCTTTTTTTTTTTTTCATTTTTGGTTTCTAAACATGGGTTATGGATATGTGATTATTGGTGTATCATCGCAAAGTTTTTTTACATTAGGTGGGGTAGGGGATTCGAATTCATGAACTCTTGGTTAGAGATATATGTCAATTTACACTCATGTTGGCTGCATCATCGTAAAGTTAATATCACAATCTCTTTGAAAAATTTTAATCAAGATTACCTTTAATAATGTGATATTATAAAATAATTGAAGTGTAAACTACAATGAGCTCAAAACAAACTATTAAAGTCAAAAGGGTTATCACATCTATTTCAAACAAGTTATCCAATAAAAATAAAAGGAAAATAGAATTGTGATTTGAAATGGGCTCAAATTCCCAACCAAATTTTACAAAAGTAGGTAGGTTAACCTTCAAATCATCAAATCGATTTAAAGTTTTTTCCTTTTTTCTCTTTAATATTCGTGAGTGTTCGAGTCAGTTTACATATACATCGACTGATTTACGGGACAACTGTTTGATCCTACAACATTTAGTATCGGAAAACACATAGGAATTACTAATTTCAAGGTAGATAACCTTCCTGAATAAAAATGGGATGGAACCTCACGTGAAAATTTTAAAGTATTGATATATTATTTTTATCCATGTGAAAACTTAAAAAAAAAAAATCTAAATTAAATATTGAAGCCCAAACGTGTCCCGTTTTATGAGGCGAAAATAAATGAAGCTGTCACATCAGGTCCAATAATTCAAAATGGGATGGAGAAATCAAAACTTTCATATGAAAACTATGTGCTGCATTGCAATTTCGGTGTTGGATAAGGTTATTTATTAACATTATCTCACATACTGTACATCGACGACCTCTATTTTAATAATAAGAAAATAACCCTTTTTCCAAATTTACAAATAGAAAAATGGGATTTCTTTTTTAAATATATGATAAAATCAGCTCTTTGTAATTTGGACAATTGAATTGATACGAAAATGACTTTAAAACCTTATGTTATTTTAACAATTTGTAAACCTGCCACGCGTATCTTTTTTTAGATGAGGATAAATATTTCTTGTTGTCAATGATACAAGTTCTCTGGACGACGATTGACATATTATACATATATCTTTAACAACAAGTTGTGAGTTTAATCTCCACGCCCACATATTATATTTAAAAAAACTCATTGATTAATAGTAGAGGTTTAAAGGTACTATCTACTTGGTTTATTTTTAACTTTTAACTTTTGTTTATTTTAATCCATGTATTTTCAAAATATCTATTTTTGTTTCTATACTTTTAAAAAGGAGTCATTATGCTTGATTTTTATCTCTTTAAAAAAGAAAATTGGCTTTTTCAAAAAAAATTGATACAATGAGCTAATCATGGATAGTATACTCGTCTTTATATCACCAAAATGATGTGACGTTATAATTTATGTTTAAGGAAAAAAAACATATATATTATATAGTATATATGGCTAATTGCTAATAATGTTGGAGTGACCTTTTATATTTACATTAAAGAAGTATTTTCTTAAACTATTTTGTTTGGTTTTTAAAATCTAGTTAAGATCTGAACATTCTTTGTGAAAGATCAAAAAGTAAGAATAAATTGTTTACCCTTTTATTTTTCTAAGAAAAACCTTAATTTTGCTATTATGATTAATAAGCAAATGAATAAATGTGACACTTTCACATCTAACATGTCTCAGGACAACTTGCATGAGAGTGACGTTTTGAAACTAATTCTAACTTTATAATTCCGACACCCTTTATTATTTTTGTTCGAAAGGAACCATCAACCATTACACATTCAAGAGAGAAAAAACAAAACAAACAAAATAAAATTCTACAAATGGTACAATCTTCTCTTACTTTTGGATCCTTGCAATCTAACGTAGTTCTCTCTCTCTCTCTCTCTCTCTCTCTCTCTCTCTCTCTCTCTCTTTTTTAATTTTTTATTTCAAGGGGCAAAAATATTAATGTCAATAAATTTGAATGATAAAATAAGGATTACATGGTTAATAATTATTTAAGTTCTTTGAATATTAATAGATTTCTCTCTCTCTCAGATTTATCAGTGTCTATCTTACCCAGACCCAACTCCTTGCTCCACCATAAATTCCTCCTTCCCTACCTAAAACCTCATCTTTTCCATCCCAAACTTCAGAGAGAGAAAAAAAAAGCAAATATTAGCAATATTTCATGTATAATAAATGTACCCTTTTTCATATAATCAAAATCTTTTTCACTCAAAACTACTACTCCTAATCACCCATATTCTATATGATCTTCTCCATTTCACGAAAAAAGAAAGTCAAATGAGAGAAAACCGTGTGAGGGTGACGGCCATATGGTAGCCTTCCAAAATGATTCAATTTTGTCACTTATCCAAACAACATTCCAGCATTCATTAACGTAATTGTAGAATTTACCCCAAATTTTATTCATTAATTAAAAATCGAATGAGGAGTTCCTTCTTCTTGTCTGTTTGAGTGGAGAAAAAGCAATTAAGGAGAAGCTGTTCGTTCGTAGAGATTTGTTTAAAACTAATTTATTTGTGGTGCACAGAAGAGGCAACCGAGATTAGTTACATAACATCATGGCCTGCTCCTGCTCCTTGTCCCAAATCGTTGACCCTCCTGCAATTTCTTCTGATTTCCCCTTGATTTCCAGTTAAAGGTCTGATATTCCCCATCTTAATCATGGAGAGGCGAAATTGTCTAAAGAAGGTGCCTTCTCGCGAGCCAAGAAGGTTGACAATGTCAATTGTGTCGGCCCCAGGAGTGGAGAACAGCACTTGGTCACTGGTGAGAAGTCCTCGATTGGCTTGAAGGTTGGTGTAGTAATTCTTGTCAAATGTGTCCGGCGTCGTTGGATCGAAGTTCACTCGCGTTTGCCCATCCGTACAAGCTCGCTCCAGCTGTTGCCTGTACGCCGGGTCCAGCGTCGGATCCGGCCGCCCGCTCCCGCTGAAGTTGGAGAAACGCCCGTTGAAGAAGAGGCATCTCGACCGACCGAACGTATGAGCCCCTGTTTTTTACACAAAACCCACTGCGTTGAATCCCATTCCCAATGCTCTTAACATTATTTGCGTGTGTAATTGTGAAGAGGGTTACCAGATAAAGCCACAAGATCGGTGGAATTGAGGTCAACATCTTGGAACTTTTTCTTGAGTGGATCCAGAGTTTCGAAGGGACTGGGGAGGTTATCCGCCCCTGTTTTATTGGCCGTTCTGCTATCTCTTCTCCCGTATAAGACCCTCCAGCTAGGCCCTCCTTGCTGCCAAATTTAAAAAAAAAAATAATAATAATAGTTATTGAACCCATTTGAATTTTTGAAGTTCGAGTAGTGGAAATTATTAGTACGTACCACGTCGACAGAATCTTTAGAGGCCTGAGCTAGGATGTCGGCGCAGGAGACGACGCCGGGACATTCAGCCTCCACGGCGGCTTTGATGGCGTCCACAATCTCGAGCCCTTGGATTCCCAAATTTCCAAGTCCGTTGAGCTCGCTCACTATGCCGGCCCCGGGATCATCCTCTAGCAAAACAGAACCGTCACAACCCTGCAAAATTAAAGCTTATTTAGAAATAGAATACTGAATCCATTGAGACCGAGAGCAAATAAATTTTTTTAAAAAAATTACAGGATAGAGGATATTACCTGGACGAAGCAGTCGTGGAAATGGAAGCGAATGAGTTTTGCCCCGGCACGGATGTCGGTATCGATAGCTCTCTTGACCTCGCGGCGGACAATGTTGGGGAGGCGTGGGCAAGTAGAGTCGTAGAAGTTCTCGCTCAGTTGACCCAAAGAGCCTCCCAAAAAGAGACTCACAAACAAAAGGAAGGCGGCTACTGCATTGTAAGAGCCCATTTTTTTTATGGGGAGGAGGAGATGGGATTGGTGAGAAAACCACCACATATGGAGCATCGTTTTATAGAGATTCATTCAATCAGTGGGGCTCCCATGGCTGCCAAAACACACCCCCAAAAGAGAGGATACACTATAGACGATATTTTGAGGCGTGTGTTCACCGTTCATACATTTTTTTCTATTATCTTCCATTAATATCATATGTCTAATCATCATTATGGTAGGATAAGTCGTTACATTGTCACTCATCCTACGTTAATTAATTTGTTACATACACATATTCATAGTCATAATAGTATTAATGTGTCTGATAAACACCAACTCCAATCTAATTCTCCATCTCAATAACGTTTTATTAGAAAAATAATAAATAGTATTAATGAGGTTGTGACTTTCATAAGCTGGGTTTTATGGTCCAGATTTTGACTTGATCAAAGATAGAACTGCACATTCATCTAAAATAAATAGAATATTTTAAATTAATTAATTAACAGAAAGAAAAAAAAAAGAAAGAAAACTGAGATTCTACGTGATACAAAGTGGATGACCTACCATATAAAATTCTAATTAAATTTTAAAAATTAAATTCCTAAATTTTAATTTATAATGATTTAGTACATATCCTTAGRAATTGACAATAATTTAGACCATTAATTTTATTTTATAATGATTTAGTTTCTCAAATTTAAAATTTGTAACCATTTAGTTTTTATGGTAAACAATGTCATTAAAATTAAGTTAATTTTTACCATATCTCTGTAATTATAAATATATTTAGTCCATCATCAATTTAACAATAGTCTACATATATAAAAAAATCTTATTAAATCTTAACAAAAAATTTTACAATGAAAACTAAATTCATAAAAAATTTAAAGCACAGAAATTAAACTGTATATTTCAAGAATTAATTTATTATCGATTTAAAAATATAAATATTAAATTATTATGAACTAAAATTGAGAAATTAATTTGTTATTTAAAGGAGGCAATTAGAAAATGGAAGAGAGAAGGGAGAACCTTATTCCCGAGTCCCCACCACGCACGTGATAGAAAGGGCGCCTAGGATTTATTGAAATAATAATATAATAATAAACAATAAAGGCAGGGGGGATGGGAGTAGGAAAGTAGTTGCCGGGTGGTCCCCACGTGAGCATACTAGTCAAGTCAATAAAGCCGGTTCTTAATCAATCAGCCCACGTTTCTCACTTTTTACTTTCTTTTTTTTCCTTTGAAATATTACCATTACAGTTTAGAATTTACATTACAGCAAATCAAAGGAATCTTTTCTTTTCTTTTCTTTTCTTTTTTATATTACTTTAAACTTTAAAGTTCAAAACCTATTCTTTTTTTTTTTACACAAAGTTTAAACCCGTTCACTTCTTACTTACACTTTTCTTTTCCATTTTCCCCACACCGAATAACCCACATGTTTTTTTTTTCTCAAAGCCAAAGTTAAATAAGTTCAATATTATTAAATTATCAATTGATGTATAGTTTGAGATTAATTTTAATTTTTGCATATAATTTACCACTTTCAAGTTTGTCTTTAAATCTTTTTAGTACGTTTTAGTTTCTTTTTCTTTAATGTTAGTATGTTTCTGTTGAAAATATTTCAATTTAATCTCTTGTGTTTGAATAATTTTTCAACAATACAAGTTTGCTAATACTCAAAATAAACTCTTTATATTTGAAAAATATATCGAAGGAAACTATGTTGTAACACACCCATAAACTCTCTTAGACTAAGGAAGCTCCCCTGTTATTAGGGCCACGGACTACCAATTAAACGAGTAAACAAAATAATAACTATAAAATCTTTAAAATTTTCAATAGAAACGGAACGGAAAGGAAGACTTTGAAGAAAGAAGGGGCAGGAGTAGGGTTGGTTTGGATTCCAGTCCTCGACATAGCTTTTGTTTGCAAAATAGTCCTCGATCTACTTCTGAATTATCTTCCTCGGAGTTGATTGGCTCATAAAACGGAGACAGTTGCCTGTAAAAGTTTTCAAGAACGTAAAATAATCAATTAAAATAATATAAAATAGCAATTATATATATATATATATATATATTATTATATTACCTTAGCCATCGCTTTCACTATAATGAACGCAAGCCAAGGCGTTGCTTTGGCGTTGGGCGGCAAATTGGAAAACTTGAGCGCGGACCCTTTTACTTTAATATTATACGATTTTTTTTTCTTTTTAGGTTAAAATATTATTTTTATTTTAATTCCTATACTTTTATTTTTGGTACGAAAGCAAATATTGAAATATATCTCTAATTAAGAGGTTGTTAGATTGACATATACTTTTAATTTTTGTTTATTTTAGTTCTTATATTTTTCAAATGTTCATTTTAGTCTCTAATAATTTTAAAAGTGATAATTTTGGTTGTTATTTTCAAAATTTTAACTTAAATATTACACATAGATACTCATTAATATAAAGTAATTGTTACATTTCAAGAAATATATTAAATATAGTATCACGAGTAAAATTTTGAAAGGAAAAAGGAGATTGAAAATAAAACTAAAGAACCAAAATAATTATTTTTTAAAATTATTGGACCAAAATGATAAAATGAATCAAATCAAAATAAATATTTTAAAAATATAAAAATTAAAATGAATCACATAGGGTAGATACACCCAAATAGTATTTAACCTTTATTTTATTATTATGATTCGTTTTCAAACTTCGGTTTCCCATTTTTAATTTTTTAATTTTTTCTCATGGTAAGAATTTGGGAGTGGCCATGTCGTCGGTCGTCGGGACTGGGGAGGCAGAACTACGAAAGTAGCCTTTAAAAGTAATAAAGAATTGCCTATATTCCACTACGCATCCTTAAATTCGATGACAGTAATTGTTACGATTATGCCTATAATTCTATAAAATATTGATTATAAAATTTAATCCTCAAATTGGTATAATTGTAGAAATCTCTCTAGAAAATGTCTCCTTCCCTCTCTAGTCTCTACTACACGGCCGGACCTTCCAAGGTACTAGAGGGCCAGAAAATAAATAATTACATTAAATTAATATTTAATTTATTAATTATGAAATTAGACTTTTTTCAAAATTAATATAGAAGACTTTTTTTTTTTTTATCATACCTTTTCTTTTAAAAAGAAAAATCTCGTATAAAAATGGATTTTTGGAGCACTTTTAATTATGCAAAACAATAATTTTTACCAGAGGAAATATTTCACCCTAAATTTTAAATTTCATTCAATTCGACATTAAAGTTAGAAAAATATTACAATATTTATCTTATATTCAAGTTCTTTTAGGTTCACTATTGATTTTATCCCAAAAAAAAAATGTAAAATATACTAAAACTTACTAATTTCAATGAAAGTCAAACATGACATAAAATTAAGCTTTATCCATGCACAAAATTGGTAACGGGATAAATCACTCAAAACTTCTATCTGCACTAACTTTTGTGATTATTTGAACTCACACAATAATTACTTTTTAACAAATTTTTAAAAGGTAAAAATGGCAACTCTCCTCAAAGTTCAAGATAAGGATTACAATGTTTATTAAAGTCTAATATCCAATTTGATCAAATTAAAAATTTAAAGTAAAAATTCATTCATCTCGCCAAGTTTAGAGATAAAAACTAATTTTGTTCTCTTTAATTATCTAATTAATTAATTATTTTTGTTTTTTTTAAATCAAATTGTTTTTCCGTATAACTATGTGGTTTAAACGGTCAAAATTTTACTTTTTGGATAAAAATGTAATCTTAATTATGATATTCATAATATTGTAATTAAGTTAATTATAATTATATCAATGTGCAGGTATTTCATTCTCCCTCATAAATTTCAATTATAATAAGTACATACTTTTTTAAGTTACTTAAATGGATCCTTATAAATATTATTTAAAAATATTTAGTCATTTATTAAATTTTCATTTTAGCCCCCAAGCATGAGCCGGCATGTTCATGAGATGGTCATCTCTCCCCTAAAACTTGAGAATTCTTTATTAATGAAAATTTTGACAATGTACAAAAAGAGAAGAAAAATAAAGGAAATATTATGAAAATGTCCATTATTTCTCATAGAAATATCTAGTTAGCTTTAATCACAATTTAACGATGTTGTGAAAATAAAAAATAAAAACTGAAAAATATTGAGATCAACCAATTACAAACGAGTGAAGTTTAAAACTCAAGGACAACAATTTCATTTATGATTATTTATTTATTCAATAGGGAATATAATATACAAGTGCGTAAGTGTAATAGAGAAATTAATATTTTGGTATATATTTAATACTTTTGCCCCATTGATTATCTAATTAGCATCTCAGTTTCTTAATAAATATATTTCAATTGACAATATATTACTATAGTACATCTCAAAAAATGAATGTTCAAATTCTCCTACTTTATTATTAAAGTTCAAAAAGTTAAAATAAAATAAAAGTTACAATTTATTAAACGGGCCGTAATTTTTTATTTTCAAGCCTAGCTTATATAATTGAGAGAGAGGGGTAAAATTATAAATTTAATTAGTCTCTATAATTTTGACAAAATTTTGAATTTCGTCTTCAATCTAATCCCACTAGTTTAAGTTTAGTTTTAATTTAGTTGTTTGTGTAATTTAGTCAAACTCCCTAAATCGTCTATTTCAAATACAAAAATTCCGTTTAGAAACTTTATTATTTGGATAATCAGGTTAGTTGTAGAAATAGTATGTTATTGACTTGTTTTTATTACATCACATTTAGATGGCATTTTTTTTTCCTAACACATTGACATTTCTTGAAAGACTAGTGTTTTGGTTCGAACACAAGCCAAAGCATGTGAATGTAATTATGTAATACAAACCGTAGCTAATTAATGGGGCGACATATAATGGATGGATGATCAGTGAAGTAATTAAAGTTCCCACAGTAATCCAGTTTTATTAATCTCCACAGGGACGACAACGGAGAAAAACGAAGGGGAAACACAACATCGCATCAATTAACCGTATGAGAAACTTACATAAGATAACATAACACAGCCCTGAAATCAAACAGCAGAAACTTACATAACATCATGGGCGGCACTGGATGGGTTGACCCGCCTACAGTTCAATCTGACTTCCGATGGGGTGCCAGGTGGAGGGCTGAGATTCCCCATTTTGATCATGGAATTCCCAAACTGAATAAAGAACAGAAGCTGGCTGCCCGCGAATCTGTTGACTATGCCAATGGTGTCGGCCCCGGGCGTGGAGAACAGCTCTTGGTCACTCTGGAGAAGCCCGCGGTGGCTCTGCAGGTTGTTGTAGTAATTTTTGTCGAACTTGTCTGGTGTGGTGGGGTCGAAATTCACTCGTGTTACTGGAGTGGTACACATTTGGCGAAGCTGCTCCCTGTAGACCGGGTCCAGCGTCGGGTCCGGCAGACCGGTGCTGTTGAAGTTGTCGAACCGTCCGGTGAAGAAGAAGCATCTGGCACGACCGAACGTGTGCGCTCCTGACAGAGCCACAAGATCGGTGGAGTCAAGCCCGAGAGCCCCGAACTTGGCTTTGAGCGACGTAAGCGGTTCAGATGGACCGGGCAGATTTGTGGTTGCGGATCTATTGGCTACTCTGCTGTCTTTTCTTCCAAGTGGAACTATCCAAGCTGGCCCTCCCGACTGCAAAATCAATTGATTGATTTATTTATTGAACCAACCAACACAGCTTTAAGCCAATGATTTAGATTTAGATTTAGATTTACCAATACAACAGAAACTTGAGATGCAATGGCCAAGATGTCAGCGCAGGAAACAACGCCCGGGCAAGAGCTCTCCACTGCGGCTTTGATGCTGTCGACGATGTCCAGGCCTTGGATCCCACTGTTGGGAGGTGCGTTCAATTCACTGTCGATGCCGGGTTGGTCCTCCAGCAGCACCGACCCGTCGCATCCCTGGAGCCAAGAAGGAAAGAGAGAGATCAGACAATTATTACTCACTTAATAATTTTAGTCAAAATCAATATAATAATGTTGGGAAATAAAATGTACGTTGACGAAGCAGTCGTGGAAGTGGAGGCGAATGAGCTTGGCAGCAGCTCGGTCGTCGGTTTGTAGAGCTTGAGAGACGGTGTTTAGAACAATGAAAGGGAGCTGAGGGCATGTGAAGGCGTAGAAGAAAGGGTTGAGAGCGTGGGAGCTCCCCAGCATCAAAGCCACCACCACAACGAAGCCTGTAAGCTTAGAGGAACCCATTCTTCACTTTTAGAGAAGTACTAATGGGTTTTAATTTGGTTTGGCGAAGAAGTAGAGAAATTAAGCTTCATTTATACACAGCCATGAGATTGTAGGGTACGACAAGTTGCGGTGGAATCAAGGTTATTAGATTAATATTTAAACAATTCCACCCCTTCAAAATATGGGATTCATATGAAATTTTGCAAGTAAATTAAATTAAAGGGGTTTCGTTTGGTATTGGTATTGGTATTTGGGCTATACTGATCTTTTCCATTAAACTATTTGTCAATTAATGCTCCCAATTTGCATTAGTTTAATGGTCTATCGAAGAAAAAGGTTGACATAAAACCAACCACATCTTTTTACTTTATATCTCTTGTTATGTATACATTCATATATATATTCCTGGTTTCGTGTGGCGACTTGCTGCAACCATAGCCACTCAGAGTTAATGATTTACTTATTAACATCAAAGTATTGGTTGAAGATGAATAAAATATCACTCAACTCAAAAATTTAAATGGATGAATTAAGTAAATTTAATTTATTTATGAATATCTCAACTGTATCAAATTATGTCATAAATATATTTTTATATGTATTATTTGCACTCGTCAACACACATTCATGTATTAAAAAAGAAAAGAAATCCTTATCGATATAAGAGAAAATTTTGCTAGGATAAAAAAATTGTAGTATTAGGGATGTCAACTGGCAGGGCAGAAGATGCCTTTCCCATCTTAAATCTCAGGGGCGGGCGGGGTTTGGATAACGAATTTTCCTGGAGAACTTTTTTTTTTAATTAAATTAAATGTTAAATAATATATGAAATACATATTTTAAAATTAAGATAAAGAAGAAAAAAATATCAATTTATTAAATTTATACTATAATTCAATTAAGTTTATTTTTTTATATTTGTAAGTATCGGCCAACTTATACGCCTAACCAATCTTACTATATTTGGTTGCGAAAAAAAAAATCAAGTGACCACCATGATATTTGAATTCTAAAATTTTTACGATCACCTCTTTAGAACTAGACCCATTCATGATGATTATATTTAATTAAGTTTATTAATCTAGAAACATAAAAGGTTAATATATAATTAAGAAATGGTTGAAATTTTTGGTCCCGCGGCACGAAAAATTGTCATCGCCGTGTAGAATTATATACAAAGTTTGTTGTTTATCACTCTAAAAGTGGCTTAATATTAGCTCTTTAAATTGAATTGATAAATAAAAATATTAACTCTTTAAATTGAATTGATAATTAAAATCCTATGGTATTATTATTATTACTACTATCATGTTGAGCCCTGGACATCCTCCCTGTACAGCCCCAGAGGTGATACGCCAATATGTATGCACAACATACATTGCTAACCATCTGTGGTCCCGTATCTCGTTGTCATCTCTAATGCTTGGAACGTACCTTGTTCGAATTTTTATCTCAACAATTATTATTATTATGTTATCAAAGTCTTATATTGTATTGGTAAGAAGATCTAGCAAGCGGACAACATCTCTATTGGTACAAGATTTTTTAGTGAAACAAAGAATCAAGGTTAAAAAATACATTTCGTCGTTGTACTTCTAAAATAACGATTTAGTCTCTGTACTTTTAAATTTGTAACAATTCAATCCTTGTAGTTTAAACTTTTTTAAAATTTAGTCTCTACACTGAAAAATCTCATCGGTGTCAATTTTTATCATATAACAATTTAGCCTTTGTAATTTATAAACATATTTTAGACCCTCGTCGATTTAGACCCACACTCCCAAAATTTGCAGTAAGGGTTTCAAGTGGAAGCGTGCTGGACACGTGACGGTGGCCGGTAGGTGAAGGGCAATTTAAATAAATATTATGAATAGAAAGTCTGTTTTTTATTGTCCCCACCATACCTTATCCGATCAAGTCTCGGTCAAAATCACGTTATGTTTTACCAATTCAATTCATATTTTAATATATTATTTATTAAGGATAATATAGACATTTCACTTTCTCAAAAGTCTCCGTTGGAGGGCGTCTGATCGTTGCGTGGGACAGAGGTGAAGATTGCCTTGCCACGAAGGATCTACGAAGTTGCGTTCGGGATTAAATTTTAAATACTTTTTATTCGTGGTTTTTAAATTTGGTTTTTAAAAGTAACTTATATTTTTAAAAATTAAGTTTGTTGGGATATGGAAGTACGGGCGCGTGGTCCGAGCTCCACGACCATGAGAGGCGCTGAGCTCCGGGATCGGTATGCGAGTGCATGAACTAAGGGATTGTCTCTATTTTATTGGAAGATTAGACCCTGATATTATTAACGTACGACCTACAGTGGAGAGCAGAGCAAGTCACTGATTTTCAGAACAGTTGAATGGACGAATTAAACGGTTGATTGCCCATCCACCCCTGCGAATACACCATAATTACTTGAATAGATATGAAAATCTGTATGAAACTAATCTGTTTAGCTCGTACCTAAAACTAACTTGAATGTTTAAGTGCTCTATCTATTTTTTTTTTGCATGTCTTGACAAACTTATCAAGAAGATTTATACTTTAAAAGTTAAAAAGTATAATTTTGATTTTTTTTTAAAATTCAGCTAAATGTGAAAAACGAAAGCACGAGAAATAAACATAATTGTTAGAAATAGAAAATTAAAATAAAATTGTTATCATAGCCTATTTTTTCTGTTATTACTATTATTTTATGATTACTTGATCATGCCGTTCCAACACGTCAGCATGATGTATGCCTTATTTAATAACTTAGTCGATTGCATTGACTGCAGGAAAAAAAAAAAAAGGAAAAAAAGGTCTTCAACTTCCTCCTAGATAAAATAGGGTTTTCTTTTTGGAAAATTGAGTGGCTATTAAAACTAATTTTTAAATTACAATAATAAAACAAAGCAAATTAAAAATCATCGTAGTGTTTATCTATATTTGAGTTCTCTAATAAAGATGAATTAAGAGTTCATTGATCAGCTTCATTATTTTAATCTTGTTGTACTTTTTATAATTATTAAATATATAAAAAAATTTACTTAAAAAGACGTTAACATAAAGATTGCATTAAAGTCGACAAAATATATGATTCCTCTATCAAATTATTAAAATATATTTTTCTTTTTGTCAATTATCAAATTTACCTAAAAAAAAGTCGAACCACTTTCTTCGAGGGCAAGCATCCTGCCGACAATATTAGTTGATTCAAGTTTAGCGGTGTTGGGCTTCTAAATCAACCCTTCAAAAATTTCCAATTGATTTTGATATTTAATAAGTACCACCAAAAAAAAAAACTTATCGAAGTACATGGAGAACTTTTAAAGAAAATTATTAAACTATGAGTTAATACTTGGGTTACTTTTTTTCTTTTTTGATGAAGTTAATACTTAGGTTACTAATTATGTATTAGGTGTATTAATTTATATTTTTAAAGTAAACAATTAAAGGTCTGAGTTAATACTTATTAGGTGTATTAATTGATATTATTGTTTTATGTAATTATTACAATAGTAAAGTAGAATTATACATTATCAATAATTAAAGAAAAATGTTATAAAAAATAAATAAAGAAAATACAATTATATATTATCAAATTATTACAAAAACACGATAACACGGAGAAGTTTAATACTTAGAAATGAATTACCTGTATTGCCAGAAAAAAAAAGAAAAAAAAGAAAGAAAGAAAGAAATGAATTACCTAAAAAAATTTAGAACTGAATTAAAATTGTTAAAGTTATAAAGATTAGCAAGTAAGTTTTAAAAATGATAAAACGAAAGGTTTAAGAACCATATTTTTGTTTTTTGAATGGACTATAATTTTAGAAATATTATTTAAAATGCAAAACACAAAATTGCTATTTTATATATATATTTGAAGTCATAGGACGAAATTACTTTTTAGGTTGATAAAATCATCATGGATTTGAATTCATTCCCTCTAAATCCTTTAGATATATCTTTAACCCTTTTGATGTTTATATTATTTATATTAATTAAATTGATGAGTCGATTTAACCCTACATCTGATGTTATATCTTTTTTTTTTAAATCTAAATTAAAAAAAAAGATGGTACATATACACGTAACGAGGCCCAAAATTTGGAATTTTGAACCTAGTGGTAGTAGCATATATTCCCCTACTTAACTTGAGTTGATTTTCTAAAGCGAATACCGCTATGAACCAACACAAGTCCTTTCAACATACTTCATAGCTATGAAATGTCTCTATGTCATTTTAAATAATCCTCAAGCATGTTTGAATAGTCTCACAATTCTTTTCATTCAGACGTAGGCATATCGTTGGTTCATCTATCTACCTCTTGACTAGCTAGTTCAATCAAAAATGTAATTAGTAATTTTCTCATTTAGGTTGCAGCCCCTGTATTTAGACTTTTGAGTTATGTTTATAATGTAAAACTAGCTGATAACATTGATTGAACGAAATTTCAATGTAGCATTCAACCAGATGAAATTTAGAGGGATGACATTATCTAACTCCTAACCGAATGGATAACAAAATAAAGCAACTAGCTAGATCTTTAATTTTTGTTTTTAAAGTTTGGATTTTAAATGAGACAAGTAGTGTAGTGGGATGGTGATGTGTGGAAAGCTTACGGTGGAACATACATGCACAGATCTCGAAGGGCAGGCAACACGGCTGCTTACTACATTTTTTTATAATTATTTTTGGTGGACAACAAAAAAGACGAGGAGAAATTACGACATAGAAAAGCATGGAAAGGAAACAAGTGTGGCCTTAATTATTATTGTGCACTCAAATTAAAAAGGGGTTGTTACATAACATCATGACCAAGACCATCCTCGGCCCGCGGCACTGGATTGACCTTCCTACAGTTGAGTCTGATTTCTCCCCTTCTTCCAGTCAAAGGGGTAATGTTTCCCATCTTGATCATGGAGCGCCCAAAGCTGTTGAAGAACTCGTCTTGGCTTCTGGCAAAGCGGTTGACAATGGCGATGGTGTCAGCCCCGCGAGTCGAGAACAGCTCCTGGTCGCTCTGCAGAAGCCCTCGGAGCCCCTGAAGGTTCGTGTAATAGTTCTTGTCAAATTTGTCCGGCGTCGTCGGGTCGAAATTCGCACGTGTCTCTGAGCTGCTGCAAATTCGCCGCAGCTGCTCTCTGTACGCCGGATCTAGGCTTGGATCCGGCCTGTTCGTGCCGTTGAAGTTCGCGAACCGGTGGCTGAAGAATCCGCATCTTGAACGTCCGAACGTATGTGCTCCTGAATAATGTATCATGACATTTATTAATTAAATAAATCACCCTTCAACCGAAAATTTAAACTTAATTAGTAGTTTTTAATTACCAGACAAAGCAACAAGATCAGTGGAATCGAGGCCTTGTGCAGCAAACTGCCTTTTGAGTCCGTCGAGTGTGTCGAAGGGACTGGCCAGGTTGTTTGAGGCTCCCTCTCTATTGGCTGTTCTACTGTCTCTTCGTCCCAGTGGCACTACCCAACTCGGCCCTCCAGCCTCAAAAATACAAAATAAAAATTTCAAATTTAATTTTTTGATTTAATCATGTTTAAAGTGAAATGCGTGTCAAGTTGCGTGTTTTAGTTACCAGGACTACTGATTCCTTAGATGCAAGGGTTAAGATGTCGGCGCAGGAGACGGTGCGTGGGCAGGCCTTTTCGACAGCAGCTTTGATGTCGTCCACGATGTTGAGTCCTTGAATCCCTTGATTTCCGGGCGCATCCAGCTCACTGTCTATGCCAGGTGCGTTCTCTAGCAAAATAGACGCATCACACCCCTGCAATATCATTCACTACATTAAAACCAAGAGCCAGCCACTAGGAAAATAAGTGAAAACAAAAAACTGGTAATGTATATATATAGTTACGTCAACAAAACAGTCGTGGAAGTGAAGGCGAATGAGCTTGGCTCCGGCTCGGGCATCGGTTCGCAGAGCCTGAGCAACCACACCATTTACAATTTTGGCTAAGTTGGGGCAGGTTTTGGCGTAAAATGAAGGGTTTAGCTGACCCAAACACCCCCCCACTGTCAAACCCACGAACCAAAAGAAGGCTAAGAATAATCTAATATTAGAAGAAGCCATCACTAATTTGGTTGGTTCCACTGTGAAGGTCACTGCCAGTGGAGCTTCCCCTTTTATAGATATTTTGGAGCACACAGTAGGCGTATAAAATAAAACCACGTGGGGCGGCCAATCCAAGCGTCTCTCAAAGTTGGAGACTATAAAAAAAGAAAAAAAAGAAAAATGCAAATTGCACAAACCAAAAAATGCAAATTGCACAAACCAACTCCTAAAATGTGATGATGGTTACAATTACACTTTAAACCTTTCAATTATAAAAATTAAATACAAGAAAAATTGTACCCATAAACTTTTAATTATAAAAATTAAACTCCCATATTTTTATACTTGAAAGAAATTGCAGGCCTAAACCTCCCATTTGGAAAGTTAAATCATATAAAAGAAAAGAAAAGAATCTCAAAACTAGATCAAAAGGATTAAATTGTTTTTAGAAAAAGTCAACCGTGAACTAAATGTTAGGACTAAAATTCAACAAAATACATGGACCAAATTAGATGATTTGAAAGTAAATAAACTAGTGAAGTACAGATAAAAAAAATAGGAAATTTTAAGCACCGTTGATCCTGATCGTTCAAGTTTATTTTTTTTTTCCCATAATGTAATTTACTTTTGTGGTAGTGGTGAAATGAAAGGTCATTGGATTCTGATGATGATCCAATATTGGAATTTGGAAAATCCGCGTAGGAATTATGTCAAATGCCTTCCAGTTTTTATTTAAAGGTATATATAATGATGAAGAGCAAACAAAAATGATACCATTTTCTTTTTTAAAAGCTCCTTTCAACTCTCGAGTCGAGTCTCTTAGGGTGTGTTTGTAAATGATTTTGGTACGATAAAATCACTTTTGTCATTGTTAAAATCACTTTAATTTTTCTCTATTATGTTATACAAATTAAAAAATTAATTTTAAAAAAACATAAAATCACTTAAAATTGGTTTTTAAGATATCACTTGACTTGACTGATGATAATTTTAAAAAATCAATTATTCTTAAATTTATTTTTTCGAGATAACTCTTTCTACTATCCCTCCCCAACACATCTTTAATATACATAAACACATGATGACCCTCTTAATATTATTAAATTAATTTAAGAAACGAAGTTTATTATTTTTTCAAAATCACTGCTTTTATTAGTACTCCCAAACACACCTTTAATATTCACAAACATGATGACCCTCTTAATATTATTAAATTAATTGAAGAAATGAGTTTATTATTTTTTCTAAAATTTTCAAGTGATCCGTATTAAAAAATTTCTGTAATTAATGTGTAACTAATAATTCACTAAGCTAATTAATCTGTCTAAAAGGAATCACTAAGCTAATATGAGAGTGAAAAACTTAGTAACAAAAAAATAGAGAAAAATAAAAAGCGAACTAATTTCTTCTAGAAAATTTTATGTCTTATAATTTAACATTATTATCTATTTTAAAATATATATATTATAAATATGAGATAAGAGAGATTTTTATTTTTTAGAATAACTAGAGTAAATGGGGGAATTTGAACTTCAAATTTTTTAAAATATTCACGCCTTAAGGAATTGAGTTATATTTTGGTGGGCTGAAAAGAAAATATTCAGACTTATTATACATGCACAATTAATACTTTGACCATATTATGCTTGATCAATTTAATTTAACATCTTTTACAAGAAAAATGAAGAAAAAAGGTAAGAAAGTTTCCATTAAAAATGAAAAATTAGAAAGAAAGAGAATAAATTTTGGGAGTGTGTTGTCCACAGTCCACAAGACTCATGTGGTTGGTCACCTAACTCTAACTTTAATATTTACGAATAAAGGGTTTTGGATTTTGGATATTGGTGGGTCCCATTTTCACATGTTTGTGTTTTTTTATTTCAATATCCATACCACTTTATAGCTGTTGTCTTTATCTTTTTAGCACGCATTATTCCACTATCGCCCCTCTTCTTTAATCAATCTAAATATACTGAATCAGTAAATAAAAACAACTTGCTCCCTGTATATGTGTATATATATATATAAACTCCTGTTCTCGTCCAGATCTTGTTTATTTCTTTTATGTTGTCTAGTTTTATAAATTTATTTATATTACAGTCAAATAATACTTGTACATCTTCCTTTTTATGTGGTCTTTCTTTTAACATTTTAGCTTCACGTTGGGTAGGTCTTTCAGTTTCGTACTTTTTGTTGGAGAAAAATCAGACGATCTTGGCTTTGGGATCATGGACTTTTGACAAGAACGCTCCTGTCGTTTTGGTGTACTCTCTTCGGGCGACAGATAGGTCGGAGACCATGTTTTTCTCTCACTGTTCCTTTCAGGTGCAAGTTCACAAATGTGCCTTTCAATTTTCTTGACGTGTGATATGGCAGTGAAATTAGGCAGTGCCCCCTCTAGAGGTCTCGGGGAGGATACATTTTGTTGGATTGACCTTGTTTTACGCTTTAGAGTTTACTTGGGTAAACGGTCCCTCTCGTGCGATTTCAAACTCAGGTGAGCTTGATGGACTAGAGGTTTGATGTCCTTACAAGCAGGATAAACAAACCGTAATAAGACGTGGGTTAAGTTACGAAAGTACCTCACAACTTTACCATTTATTTAAAAAATACCCATATTCTTTCAAAAGTTTAACACTATGCGCTTCACTTTTAATAAACGTTTCAAATTAAAAATACTATTTGATCAACCTTTTATATTTTGAATGAAAAGTTGACATGAGGGAATTTAGAATGGCGTGTTAATTGATAGAAGTTTTCCTATAACAATGAATTGACACTACAACAAAATTGACATTTAAAGATGGTAAAAAAATTCACGAGTCGAAATAATGATAGGCCCATAATTGACCATATTAAAGGTCAAATTTATCATAATGCAATGAATTGTTACTAGCAAGTTTCCATTACTTGTTACGTCATTTTTTATTCTGTCACATCAACTTTCCCTTCAAAACAATAATATATGTTTGTTCAAATAATATTTTTTTAATATTTATAAAAAATAAAGAATAATATATTCTTAAAGATAGAAATATTTTTTTAAAAGAAAAAAATTTCAAGAGTATTTTTTTTTGTTATTTAGCGTAAAATGTATTAGACACATCATACGTGTAGATCTTAACTACAAAAATTTTGGGGATGTACACTAATCTTTTGTTAAGTGACACATGTAACTGTCTAATTTAGTTAGAGTGAATACTAGTATTAGAAATCCACTCTATTAAATTTTGTTGATCAATGTTTTCTTAATTAAAGTAATTTTGAACAAAAATATATTTTCTTAACTGTCTCCATTCTATTCGTCAAGAGAAAAGAAGAAAAAAAAAAGAATCCCCATTCTGAATGGAAAAAAAGAAAAAAAAGATAGACAAAAGTTTGGCAGAACACTTCATGTATTGAAACTTGTCGAGGGACGCTTGTCAACAGTTAAGGAGTGTGGGACAACATATTACACTGTCATGGTAGGAGATGTGACTCCATCTCTCCGATACGGGTAGCACGCTGAAACCAAAGCTTGCCTGCGACAGGCGATAAACCCCAGATCTGCGAGTGATGGCACCGCCCGTCAATTGTCGTGGGACATACACCTCCGCCAGCCGATGTACCGCACGGCACATCCCTGCCACCATAACCATCGTCCTTCCTGTTCGGCCGTCTGAGCCTATATAAGGAATGACTCTCACCTTCATCAAGTAAGTGAAAAACTTGTTACTAACACTTGAGGTGTCTTTTCCTATTTTCTACTCCGATCAATGACTTGAGCATCGGAGGTTATTAGGCAGGACACCGCACTGGAGTCAGTTTTCTGGTTGCAGGCTCATTTGCATTCAGGCGAAATTACTTGTTCGAATGATATGTGGATTTCTCTAAAGTTCGTGGTCAACACAATTATTTTCTATAATTACTCAGAGTTGAATTTTTTTTTTTAAAATACAATAGATAAGAGAGAAGAGATTCAAACTCATAATCTCTTACTAATGTGTACTATCGCTAAATTAACTCTTTTTTTTTACAAACTAAGCTGCAGGGAAAAAAGAAAAAAAAAGTCTATTTTCATAATTACAAGATTGTATTTCTTTTTATGATATAGAAAATAATAAAAGTACAAAGTTACATAACAGATTTTAATCATTTATTGAACTTTCACTTTATATCACGTTTTTAATGTTTATTTATTTTGCAAATGATTATTGATTTTTTTTTTTATTTTGCCATTTTTTTAAAATGAGGGTGTAATTATGGCCATCCACTTTAATTTCTCTATTACTTTATACTTATTTGACAAATATTTTGTATATTTTATTAAGAGATAATGTCTTCGAAGATTGTTTTAGAAACTTATTTACACAAATGTCTAAAATTTTCTAATTTTACACTTTTAGATTTCTGTTGGATTTTATTTTAATTATGATTTTACCCTTATTTATTGCATTTATATTTATTATAGTTAGTATTTTATTTAAATGCAAAAGATTAATATTCTAAATTTGATTATGTAAACATTAAAGTATTGTGGGACCTAAATCAATCATTCTCATCATCACCTAATTTACTCCTTAATATATTATACTCAAGAAAATTTATTACAAAATATTCAATTATTATGATAATTCCCAAATTTACTCCTTAATATATTCTACTAAATAATGAAATTTATTACAAAATATTTTTTCATGGCATTACAAAATTTGGCTAAATTTCAATAATATATTCATTATAATATACACTTATATGGAGATATATATATATATATGTATTTATATGGAGATATAAACTATATCCAGCTACCTTTTCATTTATATGAAAATATAAACTATATCCGGTTATAAACTTAAGCAACATACACTTAACAATGGTCATATAAATTATAGTCATTAAAACATACACTTAACAATGGTGATATAAACTATAGTCATTATAACATACACTTATATGAAGATATAACCTATATCTAACTATACGACTATATCCCTCTACAATTAACAAACAAAGCAAATAACCTACAAACCTTCTGGTCGGCGATTAGATAATGGTCGGAATAAACAAAGGGCTCAAATGGTCGACGGACGGCAGACGACAAGAAAGAAACATTGGTATAAATGGACGGAAACAATGGATGGGCGACTGGAGATGAAGGAGAAGCTAGACGGATTGTTCCAACGACGAAGAAGAACGGCGACGGTGGCTGGAGATGAAGGAACGCAGACGACGGTCGGAGAGGAAGGAATGAACGGAAACATAACGATAGAGGAAGAAGAAAAACCGGAGGAATGAGGTTTTCGAATTTTTTCAATAATGGAAGATTTTTGGGATTTGATATTTTTTACTTTTGGAAAGCCTAATTAAGCAAAATTTAAGGGATTTAAAATGTAACCTTCCAATTAATCAATTTTGGATTTTAAAAATTAATTAATATTGAGGTGAGATACAAAATGATATATTAGTAAATTGTGTGATAAGTATCATCTTAAATAAGGTTGTTTTACGACAAAAGTATAAATTTTATACCATTCAATTCTTTTATGTAATTATAGTCTCTGCTCGTCTGTTTTATTAAAGAGATCAAATATTTGATGTTGGCCCAGCGCACCAATGCTCTGATAATATACAATTGAATACAATCACCTGTTTTGGAATTTGGGTCGGCCCATCGGACTAAGCCTAAAAGATGATCCACGTTTCAATCCAAAGTCGAATATAATATTTTATTTATTTATTTTGTACATGATATTTATATATAAAAATAGATTAAATTACAAGTTTAATATTTGAAAAGTTTCAAAATTGTGTCTAATAAATTCTTAAATATTAAATGTAGCTAATAGATCTTCGAAGTACTTTAAAAAGTTCTAATGAGTCATTTTCTCAATTATATATCTAAGTCTTTGACATATTTTATTATTTATTTATTTTTTTGAAAAAGAATCATTTAATTAAGGGTTAATGTGAGAAATATACCAAATAAAAGACTATAGGTAACAATTCAAAGGAGAGATATGGTAGATATATTGTAATTAAAAAAAAATTAGACTTTTGAGACTAAATTGAAGCAGTGATTTTGATTATTTTAAATTTTTTTAAAATTCAAAGAATTATGAAAGGTCAAAAAGTCTATGCAAACGAGCAGAATGGAAGATATTGAGCAATTGATAAGACAAGAACAAGCTGCACTACCCAACTGGGTATTAGATAGTATTGAAGTTTAATAATTTATTAGACAGAAAAATAATTTAGACAGACCAATTTTTATTAAATAACTCAATTTACATGATGTCTCATGTATTTTGAGTTGTTTGACATGATGGGAAAAAA